TGGATGTTTCGTAATACTGGGTTGCAGCTAGAAGGGCAATAATATAATTACAAATAATAATAGTCAAATAACAATAATTAAATAATTATTAAATGTCAAAAATAAATTCAACAGTTAAACAAAAATAATAAATAAATCAACATTATATAAAGTATTTGTATTAAATTACAAATAACATAATTAAAAACAACAACTAAACTATTATTAAATTATTCATACATTATTATTACTAAATTATTGATCAAATTAATAATTATATATTATAAACATTATCATTTAATAATAAAATAATAATAATATGAATTAATATTAATTATAAATTAATAATATAACAATTAAACATACAAATTAAAGCCAAAAGCTTCATTTCATGCCTATTTTCAGCGCTGAGATGTGATCTGATTGACAGAATGTTGTGTAATGTTACGTTTCACACACACACACACACACACACACACAAGCACATGAATTGAGCTCCAACATGCCAGGACACACAATCAGCTGTGGGAGAGTTTAAGGGCAGCAGCGGAGCTCCACACCGGTGATCAATGACCAGAGGATCAGCCTGATTCCCTCATCTAATAACTGCGCGCGCACACACACACACACACACACACACACACACACACTATGTCTGATGGGTTATTTTATAATTAACCCATTCCTCGATCAACATCCATTCACTGGACAGGCACAGCGACAGCAGCTGGAGATATTCACAACACACGTGTCCTGTATCTGTCTCATCCTTTATGCTCTTCCTTTAAGGGGTCAGTTCACCCAAAACACTGAGCCTGCTCATTTTCACTGGAGGAGTGTGGATCCTTCATCAGCTTCTCTATTCAGCTGAACACTAAAATAGATGCTGAAAACAGGTAACCATTGACTGCTATAATAGGAAAAACCAATCAATGGTGACATGTTTCCAGCATTCTTCAAACTATCTCCTTTAGTGTTGAACAGAAGAAGCTGCTGAAGGCGTGATGTCATCAGTGTGTGAACTGCCCCTTTAATCAGCTGAACTCTCAGCTCTGCTGTGTCCAGTGAATGTGGGCGTGTCCTGATGGTCATGTGACTGCGGTGTGGGCGGAGCTGCGCTGTGATTGGCTGTGCTGTGGATGTGTACTCACCCCGCTCCACTCGATGGCCATACTCACTTCCTGTGCGCCCTCAGAGCCGCTCTCGAAACGCACGCTGGACACACACTCTCTGCTGCTGCGCCGCTCAGACGCGTCCGACTCCTTCAGCAGCTCCACCACACGCGTCTGATGGATGGGGTCCAGACCCTGGACACACACACACACACACACACACACACAATTAGAACACACACACACACGTGCACACACACACACACACACACACACACGCACACACACACACACAAACACACACACACATACATGCACGAAACACGCAAACATGAACGCATACGCACACACATTCAAACAAGCACACACACACAAGAACGCATGCACACATGCGCACACACACACACAAGCTCACATGCACACACACACGCATGCAAACACGCATACTCACATGCACGCTCACACACGCACACATGCTCATAAACAGGTACGGACACTCACACGCACACACACATGCACGCATGAAATGCATGCACACAAACGCACACACATGATTGCACATGAACAATTGCACACACATGAACTCATCAATCACACACTTGCACGTACAACTATACACACATGCACCCACATACACACACATGCACACTTGCACACTCGCATGCGCAATCATACACATGCACGCACACACACATGCAAAATAGACCATCAGACCATCTACTATACTTGTTCTGTTACCATGGCAACTGTAGACCCACCACAACAGATCAATTACTATTGTTGTTGTGTTACCATAGCAACTCTAGAATCACCACAACAGACCAACT